TAACTTCCACTTAGTGTTTGTCAGTACAGATATGTTTACTTTTCTGAAAAATATCTCGCAAAAAAGAAAGAAGACAAGTGGTAGTTTATTGACGTTAGCTCATTTTTGTCGGTAGAAACAGAAGATTAGTAGAAGAAAAAATTGTTGCTTCATTGGACAACACAGCAAAAATTTAATGATTTATTGTCCACTGACTTTTCAACAGTTAATCAAGTGTAATTTTCTGTGGACATTAATCGATGCTAAAATTTTTGATTGTTTTTTCTGCTGCTTTTGAAAGAGGTTGGTTTACTGTCATTTAAATATTGCATATTTGAAAAACTACGGTTTGAATAGCAGCCAAAAGATGAGAAATAAAATGAAAGTAAATTAAATACTGAAAAATAAGTGGAAGATAGCAAGAGGAAACGGTAATTGTTGTTAAGAATAATCATATATATTGAGCTGTTAGTTTGCGTGATTACTGGTGCACCAATTGAAATAAAGCCAAAAGTAAATATATTTTGCCGGTGAACAGAGTATATGTGGCTATGGCGCTATTTAAAATTTATGCCAGAAAAAAAAAAAAGGAAAGAGAAAATTCTGTTTCATTCTTAGTACAGACATCTGGATGATGCGATTGATGGCTTCTGGAATTCTATAGAATTCTAGAATTGCAGCTTTTTAGTTAACGACATTTGGGACAAACGGCTGCACGGTTTCAAGATGACAACGACTTCAACAAGCGCTTGTAACTGCCTCCTATCCACCAATTATATTTTTGTTGTAAAATTTCTGACTTTTTGATGATCCTACGACATTTACTGTTTCACAGCATCAAAAAAAAAAAAAAAAAAAAGAAATTTTTAATGGCATTATTTTATAATAAAAAATTGGAAAATAAATTGTAACTTTCCTTTTTCATTGTTTAGAGGAAATCAAAAAATTTTAATCAAATTGGGGAAAAAAGCCTCTGTCAAACCACTTTTTCCCACTTTAGCACTTTTTTTACAAACTTATTGAGCAACAATTGGTTCGTTTTCTTTTTCCGCTGTTTTTAAATGTTAATGGATTCTAACAGTTATCGACAGTGTATTAAGCCAAAATAGTTTCACAGTTATTTTTCCCTTTCACTGTTGCTTCTTTTCTGCGTTTAATTTTGCTTTTAGTCATTAAATATCTTCATTTACGTCATACCGCCTGTTAAAATAGTAAGAACTAAATTTAAACATACTTTTAAAAAACTGAGAAAAACAGAAGTTTTAAAAATCATAAGTAGGTCGATCAAAGAGATAATCGAAAGCTTTGGTCGGAAATTTTTTTTACATCTTTGAAGATTATCATACAAAGTGAAAATTTCACCAAAAGCTTTGCTGTACAATCTTTCCGTTGTCGTTAGCGAAAGTCGTTTAAAGCTACTCAGTGGAAAAGGGGACCGTAGGAAGAAAGGAACTGGCAGATTTATTTTTCAGAAGGCTGTTATTTAAGCAAAAAAACACCGAATGACAAAAGTTCAAAATAGCAAACTGCTATTGGATGAGCACATAATTTGTTGATTCGACGGCGGTCAACCAACTCGATTAAATGAAGCAAAAGAAGGTGGTTAGAAACAATTTTTTTCAAAAAATGACAACTACTGAATGCTTTGGCAAATTCGATGGCACCAAAAATTGACGTTCGTTGAGTTGTATTTAAGCTGCTTAACTTGCGGATTTTCTGGGTACAGTAGGCGGACGAAAATGTCGAATGAAATATGCACATCTGGAAATTTGGACTTTTTCGGCTTCTATTTAGTGACCTCTGAATAAGCAGCAACCTGTTGTAATTACTCAACTGTTGAATATCCAGGCAATCTATCATTATTAGGCTGAAACTACAGTTTAACCGGTAAAATGAATGCAAAATTAGGCTAACCAAGCGTAAAAACTTTTATCTTTGATCTGTTGACCGAATTTATTTGAATCCCTGTTTTTTCCTTATCCTAAAAGTGACAAATATTTCACTGTATTTCTATCTTTTTTAAAATATTTTCGGTGCATATAAAATATGTGACCATTCTAGGACTTGATTTGGCTATTTATGCTGTTCCGTCAACGTTTCGACGAAGCCGTTCGCAAAGCGGAACACAGGAAAAGGTTTCTGCTTCTTTATCGGTTACTTATTATTATTGTTATTATTATTATTTTGTTGCCTAATTCTGCTAGTAATTTGCTTTTTCTTTTTCATATAATATATTTTTTGAATGACAAATTTTATGGAAGTGTATGAAGCGGTAATCAGTATAAATAAACTTTTTTTTTCTGCTTCATTCTTCCTTTTTTTTGTCGTTATAACTAAACGGTAGAGGAGCCTCTTTTTTCTTTCGGTAGTTGTGAAATAATAAAGAGGGCCATGATTTTTTGGCATCGAAAAATTTTTTCTAAACTTTTTAGCCAAAAGTTACACTGTAAGCAGCTAAGAACAGTTAATTTGGCACTTACTTTTTTATAATAATTAATTTGAAAACAGTAGGTCAGGAATCTGAAAGCTTATTGTTCTCTTTAGAGAAACAGCAAAACTTAATTATTTGATAACAGGTGTACAGATTTTCTTATAAATAGAATGTATAAGGAACTGCCTTTTAAACTGCTTTTTAACAAAACCATTGGAGATATGGTTTCTTTTTTGCAGTAATTGTAATTTTCGCTTATTTGTCTGCTTTTTGTTTTTAATTTACAAACATTTTGGCTGTTCTTCTTTTTGTTTTTTTTTTTTTTTTTTTT